ATTCCTTAAGAGTTCATTATTCTCCTTTACTGAGCTGTTCAATCCTCCTGGTTAATTTTCCAAAGAGGATCTCATTAGTCTAAGGTCCAGTTAAAAGATTATAACTAGTTGGAGCTCTCAAAGAAATGAACTATATTTCACAATCTAACCGAGATCAAGAAGAGAGCGATAGAACATGTCTCTCTCTCTTTTCCGTGGGACACTGGTATTCAATTTAGTTTTAAAGCACGATCGGACAGAGAGTTTGTTTTTACTCTCCCAATTTTGTTACTCTCTTATTACATTGTTTTTCAATGGTTCTGATTGTGTGAGCGGTGATAATTACTCTCATTAAAGGCACGCGGGTCTGTATTTGTCTGGTACTGATTTAGACTTATTTTTTTTTTTTTTTTTTTTTTTTTTGAAAACTCTGCAAAGCTTAAGAACCCTGCAGCTTTTAATAGGAGAATATTGTTTCTCCACCATATCCCTGTGGATTCTATCAATGGAATCCTAACCAACCTTTTCTGAAGACCTTAAAATTTCACCCGGATTTACACTGGCTTTATAGGTTCTCAAATAAATTATTTCATAAAAAAATATGACTAGTAGCACATTCCTCACGTTTCTTAAAATCAATAGAGGTCCACAGGTATTTTTTTATAGTTTCTATAATAGCTACTTAAAATTCATTCGCTATTAACCTCACACCCAGCAAATGAAACGAAACAGAAACCCAGGCGGGTAATTCATCATGGGCGCAATTTTACTCATTGTTGTTATTAACAAAACAGATCACGATTTTTTTTTTGAATAGGAATTCCTCAGATCTTCGAATACATGGCTTATATAAACGTCATACATGATTGTTGTGGTTAGTGTTGTTGTTGTTTTTCGTTATAAAATCAACTTGTCAGACAAGATTTTGCGATGATTTTTTTTGTTTTTGTATTGGGGTTGTGGGATTTGCTCATCGAAAGTCTTATAATTTCTCCATTCTCCACTTGAGTTTGGTTTTTGTCCTCTCTCTCTTTTAAGATTCTCAGGAAATTCCAATTTTATTTATCATCATCATCAATTATTGTTATTTTGTTTCATTGTTAAATAAAAGTAAGTGTTGGGATGATGAATCATCATTGGCCAGCATCATGTTTTACCAACAGTGACACGTTGTTTTGTGGCTTACCTATGAAATTTCCTATTAGCCATGAAAAATCTGTTTTTTATCTCAAAAATTTTCTCGGCCAAAATTTCTTTGCTTTTGTTTTGATTATTATTAATTTTCTTGTTCTTCATCTTCTTTCGGTTTTGATTACGTCTTAGCCATTGAATGCATTCTTTCTGGTTGTCTTGATTGACTGCACACAAGTTGTGGAGGCAGGGTATGACCAGGTATATACTTATAGATGGCCTCCACCCAGATAGCAGGCTTCATTTGCTACATATGCCCTGACATACTTTTTTGATTATTATTTTTATAATGGGGTGTTTATGTACACAGCCAAAGTCAATTGACATTTTGGCACTTAGTTGATTGGTCCGCCCGGCATTCCATTTTGTGTGGAATTTTTGTCAATATTGAAAAAAGAAAAATATTTAACAAAGTAAACAAAAACAAAAAAATATTGTAATACGAATTATCAATACTAAACATTGATAACGGCACATGGTCAAATGTAATAAAAGCTGGTATAAGTTTTTTGGTTGGGTGGGGGATATGGTTTTTTGAAAAAGTTATGTAGGGGAGGGGGTATGAAGCTAAGGCTGTCTACCGAGTAGATAAGACATATGTATGTAATAAACTCAACTTGTATAAGTTCACGGCACATAATGATTCATGTGTCAAGATTTGATATATGTATGTATGTATGTATGTATGTTTCAGCAGGTCCCATAGATAATTTATAATTGCTGGCATAATCAATGCCATGCAGTTCTACAACGGGCGATTTTCCACCACCCGTTTCCTAAAAAAAGTTATCAACAAACTTTCGAAATAAGCTATGAATATTTGAACGAATGTATTGGAATGTTTGAGTTGTCCATGAGGTGCTGTAAAACATTTTTTCAGGTTCACAATTTGTCAGCATTTTAGAAAAAAATATTAAATGTTCAAAAATCAAATTTTATATTTTAAGATTACGTTAATTTGATTTTTACCGCTACTCCATTGGGAGCAAAAATGTCACCTTATTGCCAGGTAACCGATGTGACTTTTAAACACATTTTTTAACGAATTTTTCGTAGGAAATTGAAGATTTTCCATATTTTGCAAACTTTGGCAGCAATGTAAAATATTGCTCTGCCGATTAATATCCCATCAAATTTTCCATTCTCAAAGTCAATTTGATGCATAACACACTCTTATAAACTTAAAAAAATTAGATCACTATCCAGAAGTTGTGAATATCAGATCAGAGCCACCTTTTTTGCAGAAAGGAGTATAGCACTTAAGAACAATTTAAACATAACAACCACAAACCCATTTGAGTCTCCTTCGTTATCTGAATTAACCAGACAAATCACTTCACGAACTTAGAACGGCCATGTATCACCACCAACCATAGATTCGAGAAATAGCTATCAAAGTGTCTAACACATTTTTGTTCGGACCTGGTAAGTTTTCATGCTTCCCCCGGAGCCCAAAAGCGTTAGTTTCCCGAAAAGTGTCTGAGAGAGCCATGGTGGTAGCCACACCCAATTTCTAGCTGGCATCGTTTGTTGTTAGAACTAGGGTTATATCTGATCACCTTCGAACCTCTAACTTTCGAAAACATTTTTAAAAATGCTTTCGCTTAAGTTCAAGAATTTCACCTCTCACGTTGTAATACTAATGCTCCCCAAACTGCTTCTATTAAACCTTACCTCTTGATCTAAAAACCAATGAAAGTAGAACAGAGATCTAATTATATTATTCCATGCACAAAATATTCAGGCATTTGGAGACTGCTTAAGCACTCGAATTTTTTCAAAGTAATGGTACCGACCCATAACAAGGGCACTTAACCAGGTAAAATAGGTAGAACGTCATTGATATTCAGACATTTGGAGCCAGATTTAAGCTCAATGAACCAGATTTAATTAGGATTAACATACATAAATACAAGTACATAAGAACGCCACTTACGGACGTAGAGTATAGTACAAAATAAATTTATATAAAATTATAAATTATAGTATGATGAACACGTTTAACTACAAACGTTATAATTGCAATAACTTTAATATATTTAATGCTGGCACCAGACTTGCCCTCCAATAGGCCCTCGTATTGTGAAAATATCACCGTTTTTTCCAGGAACAATAAGTCAATATTGTTTCTTATATTTGTGTCATTATTACAAAAAGGATTTAGTTCTTCTAAAACAAATATTTGCAAAAATATTATGGTGAGAGAAAACATCAGTTGGGGAGTGCGTAAAACAATAATTTTTCAGGAAAATGTTCCATTTTTAATTTAATCCCAGTCAGAATATCTTCAAATAGATAACTCTCCTATAGACAGGTATATCAGCTAACAGCCACTCTGTGGCAGAAAGCGCATGAAACTAGAGAGCATTTTTCTCTTCCCAGCCGTAGAAGGTTGGTTAAATATCAAACACCTCATCTTTTCCTTAAAATTTTAAGCCAACGCCGATTTTTTAGTTTTACATTAGCCCCATAATTACTAAAACCAAAGTGAAATCATTGACGTCTTCTTGGTAACCCCCTATAAACACGAGTTTAAAATTGGACATTTTTTCGCTTTTACGGTTAGCATGTAATTAAAATGTTTTAACAATTTGAAAATTTTGGTCTTCTTTTTTTTAAATAAATGAGTTCGAAAAATACCATCATCACAGGTTACAGCAGCTAATGGTTCAAAAAAGCGTTACATTTTGAGCTTCACAGTTATTTGTTAAACTTGATTGCCGATACAACAAAGCTGGCAAAATGTGTTATAAGAGAATTGAATATTAAACAAAAATATTTAACATATTTGCATTTAAAGTTAATATCGAAAAAAAACATTCAATAATTTGCTTCAATTTTGTCAAGTTTATCCTGCCAGCCAGTTCTTATGTTCACGTAACTGAACTGTGCCGTTCCACCGCGAACTTGTTCAATAAACTATTCTGGGAAGGGAACTATCGGGAGCTATAACGTTCATACACTTCCTTTTCTTTAGTTCGTTTTTTTTTTTTTCAATATCTCGATGGGCTCTTTCCAACCTTTTGAGACGTTTTTAAAAAAAAACCCTGCTCCCAAGAATTTTAGAGCTTGAGAATTTCGTAGTTCTGAAACGAACTCGTTCAATGAACTACTCTGGGAATGGAACTATCGGAACCAAAACCAGCTCCCTCCTTCGTTTAATTTTTTAAGAACTTCTGGTTATTTTAATTTCTTGCTCCAACTATTCCCTAAGATTTGAAACGATAGAACGAGAAGTAAAGATTGTATTAAAAGAGACAAAGGAACTTTATGATCAAGTTAGTTCCTCTTTAGGAAATGAACGAGGGAGTGCGATTCACTTAATGAACTAAATTGTTCAACTATTGTCTATGGATCCATAATAAGGGTTTTGCATATGTAGTGTCAAATTTTCCATATGTAGAAGTTACACAACATCGTGTGATCCATGGACGACATTTCCGTTTTGACTGATTGCAAGCGATTATGTATTGCTTGCAGATTATACAATTTTAATGCAAATCAGTTGGAATTCAATTTTTACCTAAGTTTTCAGTTTTTTTTTTCTTAATTTTGCCAATTGAACTCAAATGCTATATACACTTTGACCAATAAATATTTTATATTTGTTCCACCTTTCTTATTTAGCATTATTATTTTAGAAACTTTGTAGACATATTTGCATTCCAAGTTCAAAATCAATATTCCAATATTTAATTTACAATACTTCGTTTCATTGTTAATTACATTATCCTCAATGTCTGTGCTAAAGTTTCCTTGAACTAGCTTATGTAATTAGAGAAGTTTCAGTCTAGTCAGTATATTTGCTTACAAAACTACAAGAAACCTACCTTGAAGGTGTAAAATTGCCAACGATGATGATGATGGTATTTGGTGTTGCTACAATTAATCCACAAGCAATGACACCAATGCTGAGACAGAAACTGCTATCGAGGATGACGACGACGACGTTGGCGACAAAGAAGTCTGAAGTTTCTGGTTTTCTCTTTTTTTTTGCAATAATCCAATTATAGGGCAGACGGCGGATGTATTTCTAATTCACAAACTTCAGACAAGACGTTTATAGTTTTGCTTATTTTTTTTAATTGTTAAATTCTTTGGTGGATTTTTTGCACTCGCTTCTCAATTTAATTATCAACGTCTGTCAATGTTTCTACAGGTTTTTTTTTCACAACTTTTAAGTTTTGCCTTGTTTCCGTTTTTTTTTTATTATTGTTAACCTTTACAGCACGGTTAATGACACTATTTAATTGTGGTATTTTATTTTTCATTTAGTTAATTTTATTCTCTTCTACAATTGTATATTTTTTGGTATTCATCGTTCAAACAAAACCATTCATTGTTGCTGTTATTTTTGTAATTGTGTTTATATTTTGTGATTGTTGTTATTGTTTTCACCGAGAATGTAAACAAACCATAAACACAACACAACTTTACGTCAAAACCGAAACAAACCAAAAAAGCAATGAATGCGTCGTAACAAAATGTTGTGATGGCCCTACCCGTTCTGTTTTCGAAAATGTCTTTTATCGTGCCAAAGAGCTTGCGCGCACGTCTTGATCGTTGAAGTGCTTAGCAACGTTTGTCAATGAGCCCTGAGACCCCTGCTCATGTGGCTGCGGCTCTTAGGTGGCATCAGCGGCGGCAGCGACAGCGGCAGAGTAGATAATGCAAGAGGATTGGATTACTCATAGCTCGTTGTGATAGAATTCCACTCATTTCTTTCTTCATAGTAATGAGTGAGAATGTTTGATGTTGTTGTCGTTAGTTTGTTGTGTGTATGACACATAGTACATGTTGTTTGTGTTGCCTGTCGTTAGGGTGTTGAGGTGGGGTGTGGTGCGTTTTCGCATTGTAAACAAACCGGCATTATTTGTTTGGTTTCGCATTCCCTCTTTTATTATTTTACTCAAATATGTAATTTACCTGGAGTAAATGTCTGCCGTTACACACTCAGAGAGAAAATTAGTTGTAAAGAATGATGAAATACCAATTAAGAATAAACTATTTATTATTGTAAAGATTTAGGAAGTATTTTGGCGTTCTTTAAAAATGAGGAACAACTCTAGTTTAGTAAAAACTCTTCGATTTTTTCGAAATTTTTTTCAGAGGTAGGTATTTTTACCCTGATTCCGGGAAACTGTTTTTTTCTTGGGGGACGGACACGGGACCCCAATCCACTGGACCCGGATCCACTTACGCGATATAGACAATATAGGTATCGTTTTAAACTCATGAAAATACCTATCCAACAAGTGGTCTCATGATAGAGTAAGAAGTCATGCTTCGGAAGTTATAATCAAATTATCGATTTTTTGGACCCGGATTTTTATAAAACCCCCAAAAAGTAAAAAAAGGGCCCATTATGAGGGACAACAAAATTGATGCCAAATTATAGCTGACACTCTTAACTTTCCAAAATGCTACAATTTGTGCTAATACCTTTTACTGAGTGCAGAGATATGAATCTTTCCATCCGCATAACCCGATTCCAACCAGTTGATTAAAATTATGTTTTTAATAAAAAAAGATTGATTTCGGGTCAAAAATCTGGGGTCCGAGGTCTGTCCCTGAGGGAAAAAATAGTTTCCCGGGATCAGGGTAAAAGTACCTACTACTGGAAAAAATTTCGAAGAAATGTAAGTTTTTACTAAACTAGAGATAAGTCAAAATTTATTCATCAAAATTATGTAATCTAGTTTAGTAAAAATTTTATTTTTTTGGTTACTTAAGTAAATGTTAATGCTGGTATTTTTATCTTGATTACGCGAATATAGAGACGATGGAGCAATTATTTAGGCCAATATAAAATTATAGGTATAAATTTAAGTTATTTTAATTGGTTCAATACTTATGGCAAAAAAATTGTTTTTGTGCTGATTTTTTATGAAAAAGTCGAAAGAGAATTATTTTACAACAAATTAGAACAATCATATTTTTTAGTGGAAACAATTGTGGCATGACTGGTGTCTCTCGATGCAGACATAAATTCTAAAATCTATCATAATGGACTTTTCTTAAGTTTTTCGGGGTGTAATAAAAAAAAATTATGGTCCAAATATCTGCTGAGTAAAATAGTGCCTTTAAAAAAAACATATGGATATTTTTATCCTGATTGCAAGTGATTTTGTTGTCCTGCAGAACTATTATTTGATTTGAAATTCCAGATTGTTTCGAAAACAGTAATATAGGTTGAAATTCACATAGTTTAGCTGGTTCAATACTCTTAGCAAAGTAATATGTGTTTTGGAGTCGATGTTATTTTTTGAAAAGTCCAAAAACTCGGAAGAAGGTCCATTTCGGAGAATTACTGTTGTTGTACTAAATTTATTTTCTCTAGAACTCTTCGTTTTGGAATATTTGAAAGACATTTTTACCCTGATTACGGCAAAATATTAGCGTTGTGGGGCAGAATCGTTCATTTTTTTAAAAGAATGTTGGCGTAATCATCCCGGAATAGACCCGATTCTATGGGTTCCAAAGAAGTACCATATGTAGCCGGTATGGGACTTATCTAGGAAGAGGCCATCTGAATCTATACGGGGTGAGATGAAAAAACTGCTATCAACTTCAGACTGCTGTCATTTTTAAGCCACTCGTCCGACAGCCCTTAAATTGATTCCAGTGATAGCTCATTATATTATTTACAAGCGTACAAAAGCATTTTGATGAGAATTTTCAAAAAAAAAAAAATATTCGTAGAATAGTGTGATTTCTTTATATTTAGCTGGAAAACCACAAATGGCTATCGTGGAGCACTCCAGCATTTAAATGTGAATAAATATTTTGTGTTTCGTACCATTGCTCGTTACTGTGATACTGGTTGCGTAGCCCGACGTCAAAAAAAAAAAGCGGACGGAAGAAAACAGCAACATCAGGAGAAATGATTCGAAAAGTAAAGAAGCGACTTGATCGAAATCCGCGCCGCGGTAGCCGAAAAAAGGTTCGTGAGCTGAACATATGGCAATATTTCATTCGGCAAATATTAAAAAATGAGCTCGGGGTAAATCCATTGAAATTCCAAAAAGTGCAAGAACTTCCACCGCAATAGAAAGGAAATAGACTGAAAAGAGCTAAAGAGTTGCTTCGCTTTGCCGAAAGTGGTGAACTGCCGAATTTGGTTTTCTTCGATGAGAAAACATTGGTGGTCCAGCAGTTGTAAACAAACAAAATGATCGTGCACCTTTGGTTGGTCACCAGAACTCAAGCGCCGGCAATGGCGACGGTTGGGCCGCCATAACAGCCGATGATCGCTCTCCGCTCGTATTAATCGACCGTGGCATTACAATAAATGCCGAATATTATCGCGAAAATCTGGAGGGTGTATTAAAGCCTTGGGCACGCAAACATTTTGGCGGCAGACCTTCGACATTTCAACAGGATTCAGCGCCATCGCACTCAGCACGCGCCACCCAATAATGTTTACAAAATAAGGTTCCTCGCTTAATTTCCAGCGCAGAAAGGCCCCCAAAATCTTCGGATACCAATCCGTTGAACTATTGTGTCTGGAGTATTTTGGAAAGCAAGTTTGGCACTTGAGTTTTGGATATACCTCCCACATATATTTTAGGCCGAGTTCTTATATTTGATGCGCCAAATGCGCTATGTATCGCCAATTTCAATAAAATATAGAAGGTGTGACGGAATTCATTCCAAAAATAATTTTGTCAAACTATGCTGAAACCATACTGAAACCGGCTCATATTGGGATATGGATAATTGAGGCTACGATTATTACAGTGAACTATATTGCTACCACGAATTCTCTAATAGCTACCGAAATGCTCCCGGTTAATTTCTTCTCCTCTACCTCTACAAAGTCGTTCTTTCAATGACAACGTTGTAAAATATATATTCTTGATTAGCAGAAAATTCTATCCGAACGATGGCCGTCTGTGGAAATCACGAACGAATTAAAGTAAATTGATAACATTTTGCTTAAATGTGTGTTTGGTCTGCAGTACTTTTGGTATTGAAAATGGGCTACATTATTCGCCGTAATTGTTTCGTATTTAAGTTTTGTAATAGGTACTTTAGCCTGTGACAATAAATTGCCTATGCAGGTTCTTCCCTATATTCGGCATTTAGATCATTTTAGCTACATTATTCACCGGAATTGTTTCAAGTTTAGTATTTGAATATTGTAATGGCCCATGGCAAATATTGCCTATGAAGGTCAACGTCTTTGTATAGATCACAATATAATGGCAACTCCCTATATTCGGTATTTTTAAGATTTTAATATAATTTTCAACGGTTTGTGTATTTTTGGAAAAAAAATCAACTTTTATTGATCTGATTGCCCCTGAAAAAATATTCTTTAAAAAATACAAATCCAAATAAATACGGTTACGAGCACATTTTTCATATAAAAAATTGTAAAAATGGCACTATGCTTCGGGTTCTGCAACATAGATAATAATGTGCCCTGTAGTACTTTTCGTAAAACTTAAAGAATGAATTTACAAGTTTCCGCATTTATATCTTTTAATCGTCTTATCTCTTATCCCTTCAGTCTTATAAATATTTATTTACTACTTATTATTTTCTTAATTTTTCTTCTAATAAAATCCTAAATCGACTCAAAATACAAACCAAAAACATCTATGGCCCTATCACAGCCCTTCTCCATGTTAAGAACAAATGTGAATATAATTAATTTATCGATCATGTAAACGAACTGCATCAATTTTTCGAGTGTAACCCATTTTGTTTCGTGTTAACCTACAATGCATCTCTGGAATACCACTCAGTCTCTGTTATCGCTGCTCTACGACTCATTCATTCAGTCAGTCAGTCATTGATTGCACAGCTGTCAGTCACCCTCTTCTTTCACCACAAAAATACTCTCAGAACTCACTCAATGTGTAAATTCTCTCCCTTCTGTTTATGAGGTGTGTGTGAGTTTTGTTGTTGTATTTGGGGTTCGATTTTTGTTGATATTTATTCAATGTGACAACAAAAGTAGCGGTGCGTTCCATTTAATCATTTCAGTTAATTTCTTTGTTTTTCATGTTGTTGTTGTCTTTTTCTTTCTTTCTTTCCTTTAGGTGAGGCGCACCCGATTTCCTGACTAGGTGTTGTTGTTGGTTGTTTGGTATCTGTTTTATTTGAAACACACACAACTGCTGCTTTGGTGCGCACGCGCTTTGTATGGCATTGTGACGATATAACAGCTGATCGTAAACACAACAATCTTTGTCATTATCATCATTGGATTGTTGCTGCTGTTGCTGTCAGTCAATAAAATCTGAGAACGGGAGCAACAACAACAAGAAGGTAGGTCCATTGAAATCATTATTGGCATGAGAGAATGGTTGTGGTGTATGAAGGCTGAGGTTTTTTTTTTTCCACAAAAGCAGCAGCTGCTGCTGCCGGTGGTGGTGTTGTGATTTGTTACGTTCCCTATAAGAAGCTAATCTGAGCCACAAATGTAAATCACTGCTTGCAGCACCAGACGTCAGTAGGCTTGGTGTGGTTAAAAATATATCCTCTTAGCAGATGAAATGCATCCCTACATCATAAAATGGGATATTTAGGGAAAGATGTTTTCATTGGATTCAGTGGGTTATAGTCTTTGGTTAATGTGGTTATCAAAATGCCGTTGTTTGTTTTTGATTGAATCCAAGGGCTACCTATACAAATTATTTCCATATTGTTAGCCATTCATTCGTATTCAGATAATAAATTGCGGAACACACACACATTAATATTCAGCTATTTCAACTCGTCTCTTAACAAAAGCTATTGATATTCTTTGGTATTAGATAACTTGCAAATTATGTAGCTATGACTTTAGAATATCTATCCGAATGATGAGATGCGTAAGAAACGGCAAATGTTTTTTTTTTACGCAACCTTTTTTTTTTGTCCCAATTTATAGTCCAAGAAATGCTTACTGGGTCACGTCTATAATTCTGTAATCAATACCAAACTATTAAATATAAATATGGGTTTTCCCATCAACGTAAATAGCACGAACTATGAGAGTACTCAGATTGATGTTGAAAAAAAAAAAAGAAAGTATTTGTCACAGTTTGATAAATACGAAAATGAAATCTTTTATTGAAATTATTTTGCTGATGATACAGAGATTCATGTAAATTCGTTTTGTAGGTCAAGTTTTTGTTTTCAGTTTGTGTAATGTAATTTACAGAGCTGACCTGAATAATTGATAAAGAAATTACATTTATGTATGGATATAATATGAATCTCTTACAAGAAAAATATAGGATACGAAAATAATGAGAAAATATAATTATATATAATTTGCTGGCAGATATATACCTAGAACTCTGCAATTTTTGGGCACGAAATCTTCAAGGAAAAAAAAAACAAAAACTTCAAAATCCAGGATTTCTGACAGTAAGTCCTTGAAAACAATATTATTCTACAAGGGAAGCTAGGTCAAATGAACGATTTTGGGAAGATATCCAGCGATAACTTCTCCGTAACCTTCAGCCCATGTGTTCATTCGAACAAGGTTGCAGAATGCATCCCGCTTAAGTAAAAGTGGTGGCCCGACATAATCAGAGTTTTGAAGGAATATTCTTGTTTTTTTTTTTCTTCTCAGATTTTTTTGGGAATATTTTTTCCGGATTAATTGCCTACTATTCCCAGATTTTCTCCAGGACATTAGGACTTTTCTAAAAGATTGTTTCTTGAAATATTTTTTAGGATTATTAGAAGCCAATTTGTTAATACTTTCCAAGGATTATTGGAAGTTTTGTTTGAGGATTATTAGGACTCAATTCGGTTATTTTATTCTGGAAAACTATGTTCCTAATTATTGTTTTTTTTATATGATTGATTAGATCAATGTTTGTGGTTTGAATACTTTTTGAGTGTTGGACCCCATTTTCGGGGATTTTTAAGAATATTTTTCGAGCATTTTTAAGTATTTTTCCCTGGATTTTTTAAAATTTTCCTTAATACAGTTTTGAGGAGTTCTTGGTCTCATATCATGGTTTTTAATTTTTTTTTTCGATTTTTGTTTGAAAATATTGGATTTTTTACGAATATTTTTTAAATATTTTTTTCGAGGAGTATTGGCTCCGTATTTATGTATTTCCCAGCGCATTTTTTGAATCAACATTAGGTTGTTATTAATTTTGGATTATTTTCGAGTGATGTTAAAATATTTTTTCGAGGAACATTAAGTCCATATTCGAGGTTTTTTTAACAATACTTTTCAAAATATTTTTTCGAGGACCATTAGGATTGGTTGAACAAATTTTCGAGGAACATTAAGTCCACATTCGTGGATTTTTTTACGAAGGAAATTTTCGAGGAATGTTAAATTTCAATTCGTGTATTTTTTGAAGTGATTACAGCTCTAACCGTGGATTTTTACGAATATTTTCGAGGAGTATTGGGTCTGTTTTTATGGATTTTCAGGCTATTTTTCAAGCAGCTTTTGGTTCCTATTAATGGGTTGTAAGAATATATATCAAGTAGCAATAGGTACTATTTTGACATTAGGTGATTTTCGTGCATTTTTCACGAATATTTTTCGAGGAGTACGAGGCATATGTTCGTGTTTTTTTAAGAATATTTTTCAAGGGTGGATTTCTTAAGGTATTTTTTCGAGTAGAATTATGTCCCTCCCCTTACACTTTTTACGAATATTTTTGGATGAGTTCTGGGCGGATATCCGTGGATTTTTCCAAAAAAAAAAAAGAAAAAATAGAGGAGTATTAGTTTCGTTTTTGTGGATTTTTCAGGGTATTTTACGAGCAGTATTAGATCCCTATTAATGGTCCCTGTTATTAAATGTCAATGTTCGTGTCTAAAGTCAAAGTTCGTGGATTTTTAAATAAAGTTTTTTTTTTCGAAGAGAATAGCCTTCCTATACGTGGATTTTCTAGAGTAGTTTTTAGAAAAGATTTTTAAGAATTTTTTTTCGAGGGATTTTAACTTTCCATATTTTTCGAGGAGTATAAGATCCCTTTCCGTGGACTTTCTACGAATATTTTGAAGCGAGTTTTTGGGTGCGTTTTCGTTGATTTTCAAGAATATTTTATCGAGTATGGAGCTTCATTCGAGGATTTTAAGGAATATTCGTCAAGCAGTGTTAGGTCCTTTTTATTGGGATATATTTTAAGGAGCATTCCTTTTTGTAGTTTTTAAGACACTTTTTCGACGGTTTTTAATTCTCTATTAGTGTATTTTTAAGATTTTATTGTCCTACAAAATTGTAAGCACTTGATTCTTTGCTAAGAAATTCCCAAAAAGAATATTTATTCTTTGCTACGAAATACCCAAAAACAAATCTAAAATTGTGGGTAATTTTTTGCTAAAAATCCAGAATATTACTGAAAAATAGACCTTTGTTTTCCACTTTGGAGACCTTAATTTAAATAGTATGATATTCGAAGTTAAGATCAATACGGATATTATCTTCATCTGTTATATGATTCAGGATCTTTCAAAATTGTGACCATTTTTACTAGAAGTAACAGAAGGAGATGTCATATGATGTCATATCATCTTGGGATTTGCAAAGTATGAGAAAGACGATTATTATTATCATACATTTTTGGTTTTGATACTAAAGCAGATTGCCTGATTATGGCCATCTTCGAACTGGATCGAACTTTTGAAAAATATTTCGACTGTGAACTAAACCGAGTTTGAACTGTTCACGCCAGGCAGATAGACTCCTAATGTCCTGTAATCCGTTACCTTTGGTCCTCAGAAATAGCGCCTATGACATCTAAAGCCGGGCATAGATACTCAGTAGCCATATTTCTTAGGGTTTAAAAATTATTGTGGATATCTACTCAAAAAAGGTATTTTCATTGCCAAAATAAATTTTACAAGCAGATTATAACGTTTATATAACAAAACAATAGTCTGTGGAAGAATAAAAGTGTGCTGCACCAATAACATCTCATAAATCCGCTTGCAATAAAAACACAACACTCAATAAAAATTTGGAAAAAATAGAACTATCAAAAAATGAAATAAAACATCAGGAAAAAACAAATTAATAACAAAACGAAACAATAGAATGGAAGTAGAAGCTACTTTCAGACAACACCAACTAAATCAAAGAATGAACAAAAGTCAACTACGATTTTGTCGAAAAGAAAAACAAAATGAGAAGTAACAGGAACAATTACAACCAAAATAAACGAAAATGTGGATATAAAATTCAAGTTGTTTGGAGGTTTGTTGGCAGAGGTACTCCATTGCTAACGAAAATAATTCCTTCAGTACTTTTGCACTACTAAATGTCAGCCACACCAATTTCAACTGCAAGCTTTGCACTCGGCAACTAAATAAAAGTGTGTAGACCTGCAGACAGACACTGAAACATGTATAAACCATAAACTACATAGGTATGTTGTTAAATGAAAGCACAGAATCTTCTCATGCCATAAATTTTGTATTCTTTCACCCAAGTCAAAGAAACAACACAATTTTATCAACATAAATTTATCAAAGGTGTAAAGACGCACACATCAAATGAACCGAAAGGACAGTGGGCTTCAAAGAACAAAAGACAAAATTTAAATTAATTAAAAAATTGATTTAGATATTTAAAGTGCATAATTTTCGGCCGGGCCGATCTTTGAATACCCTCCACCAAAAAAAAAAAAAATCAATAAAAAAAAAAAAAATCCGCTACAAATTTTTTAAAATCTGAAAAATACCGAATGTAGCCGTTATATTAGGGTCTATACGACGACGTGGACCTGCAAAGGCAAGTTTTGTCATAAGCCATTGCAATATTAAAATGCAAATCTTGAAAAAAATTCGGTGAATAATGTAGCTAAAATCATCCAAATACCGAATATTGGGAGGTACCATTATATGGGGGCTATACCAAAACGTGGACCTGCACAGACAGCTTTCTCTCATAGGCTGTACTATTCATTACGAACTTCAAATACTAAATTTGAAACAATTCCGGCAAATAATGTTGCTAACATCATCAAAATACCGAATATCGGAAGGTACGGTTATATGGGGGTTATACGAAGACGTGGACCTGCACAGACAATTTTCCGTTTCAGGCTGTAGTATTCATTACGAACTTCAAATACCAAATTTGAAATAGTTCCCGTAATTAATGTCGCTAAAATCATCAAAATACCGAATATAGAGAGGTACTATGGGGGTTATAAAACGTGGACTTGTCTAGACAATTTCCAGGCATAGGCTGTAGTATCCATTACGAACTTCAAATACCAAATTTGAAACAATTCCGTTGAATAATGTCGCTAAAATCATCAAAATACCGAATATCGAGAGGTGCCGTTATATGGGGGATA